CGGGGAAGCCGCAGCCGCAGCCCCGGCCGCCGGGTGGCAGGCGCGAGCCTCCGACCGGGAGGCCGGACCCGGAAGGGGCTTCTGCCGCGGATGCTGCGCCCAGGCGTGGGGCCGCGGCAGGAGCTGTTATGGGGAGGGAGGGGTGTCACGGGGGCCTGCCTCGTTTGGGGGTCTGGAGGAGGGGCTTCCCAGAGCAGGTGTCGCTTGAGCAGGGAACTAACAACTTGGAGAGCAAGGTGGGCGGAGGAATGTGCAAAGGCCCCGAGGCCGACCCTGGAGCATGGAGCTGGGCAATGCGGGGCCTGTCATGCAGTGGGGAGCCTGGATTTTATTTCATCCTGGGGTGGGTGAGGAGGCATAAGAGACTTAAGGACTCTTGTAAGTTGCGGAGAGCCGAGTGTGCGAGCCCCCAGCAGCTGCCAGATGGGGATACTCAGGCGGGGCTTCCTGGTTCAAAGACAGGTTGCAGGTAGAAACAAGGGGTCCCGATTTCCACCCCCAGAACCAGCTAATGCCCCCGCTTCCTCAAATGTTGTTTTTGAAGTGTGAATAAGGAAAACAAAACACCGGGAATGCTCACTTACGCTTTCCAAACATGGGTTTCCCAAAATCACACCTTTCTTTGAATCCTGAACCCCTGGCACTCTGTGGAATCCTGTTTGAGAATGACCACGCCGTGTGTCTCCTAGGAGTGGGCCCAGGTGGCCAGGCGGCCTTTCTTCTGAAGACCAACTCAGGACTTGAATCTGCACTTCTGAGCCGTGGAGCAAATCACGGTGAAGCTCTGGGCCTCAGTTTCCCCACACGCACCACAGGGACACTGTGGTTTCCCACAGTCGTGGAATTTGGGTCCTGGGTCTGTCCTTCTGGGAGGCCTGAGGTTTCCAAGTTCCTGGATGCCAGGACACGGGGGCAGGCCCAGCAGATGTGGGTCACAGGGTTGTAAGCTTGGTGCCCAGAGTGCGCTGGTGGTGGGCGCTCCCGTAGGGGCAGGCGCTGGCGCGGAAAGCACAGCTGGATTGCAGTGCTGGCCTTTCATTCACGGGCCTCCTTCCCCTGCGCTCCTCCCAGGAGGTCAGAGGTCACCCCACCCCCAGCCCAGCGAGCGTGGAATGAGGACAGACCAGTTGTGTCAGAAGAGAGCAGGACAACAGCCACACTTTGGGGGGGCGTCCAGGACCACCCAGTCGCCAGACCTCCTTGGTGCCAGCTGGGTGGGTGCCTGGTCCCAAATCCAAGGCTGGGAGGGTGTGGCTGTAGCAGCAGAAGCAGGATGGGGGAAACTGAGGCACAGATGCATTCCCTCCCCCCTGCCCAGTCTAAGCCCTGAATTCTTCGTTTATTCTTTTTCCATTATTGAGCACCTTTTTGCGGGCAGTGGGGACACAGTGAAGAACCAGAGCAGACCCCACTGTTCTGGCGTCCCAGCCCAGGGGCACCTTCCTTCCTCGGGGGCAGCCCCCGTCATGTGCACCAGCGATAGGAGGGAAGGAGGATGACTCAGGTGAAAACCCTCTCCTTGTTCCGGCCGCGGCTCCAAACCCTGGCTCCTTGCAGGCTCCCTCAGCTCTGCTAATCAGGTTTTGAATGTTTCCTCCCGGAGCCTCCTCGGGCCTCGGCAGAAGCTCCGAAGCCCAAGAGGCAGGAGCTGACGGGCTCTGGGAAGCCGGGAGGGCCATGGGGGGGCCTGAGCCCTCCCTGGCGCCCCTGGGACTGTGTGACCTCAGGGCCTCCTGGCCCCTCTCTGGGCCTCTTCAGCGGAGGAATGAAGATGAGGACTGGCTGAGCCAGTTTGCAAGAAAGGGTCATTTTCCTTTTTTAAATAATTTTTCCTTTATCTTCTGGGGCGGGAGGAGAGAGCCCTGAGAGGCAGGTGGAGCCACCGGCCCTCTGACCTCTCCTGTGCCCCAGGCCCCTGGACGCTGGGACCAAGACGCAGCTGACTCATTTCTGACAGGAGTGGAAATGCCGTGGATGAAATGGGCCACAGAGGCGCGTGGGAACCCCCTGGCTGTGACAGGAGGGGCAGCTGATTCTCCCTCACTCCTAGTGCAGCCTTGGGAGCTGACCCAGGCGGGAGGGACTGGCCGGGGCCGGCCCGGGCTGGTCCTGGTGGTAGGGGAGCCAGATGGCAGGAGGCTGGGCCTGCCCACGGTCCAGCCAAGCTGACCTTGAGCCCGTCACACACTCTGTGGCGGGGGGTGGAGGGGTGGGGTGGGTGGGTCCGAGGGTAAATGGATTAGACACCCCAGAAAATCTCTTCCAGCCCAAATTCTGCAGTGCTGCTGTGGTTTGAGTTTGGAGGCAGAGAACACAGGATTTCCCTTCCAAACATTCTGAGCCCAGGTGTTGCAAACTGCAGCCCGAGAGCCATTTTCCTTCTTAAAATTATTTTTCCTTTATCTCCTGGATAAAAAGCGGGGGGAACCGCTTTGGGGCTATACCTACTGAATCGTAAAATGTGAACAGGTGAGCCAGACCCCAGCGGGAAGGCTGCTGGGGCACGCAGGCTGGGTCCCTGTCTCAGAAGCCTGCAGAGGGCCCGGGGGGACGGTGGGGTGGGGGGGCTTTCTTCGGGTGCCCCTCTCCTGCCACGTCGGGTCATGGAGCGCGCCGAGCTAGGGGGTGACCCCAGGGGCACAGGAACGGACGAAGCACATACATGACTCCGTGTCCCGGAGGGTGACAAGGGGCTTGCCCGGCACACAGGGAAAGGACGACCCAGGCAGTGGGAAAGAGCTCTTGCAAAGGCCCAGAGGAAGGCCCAGCGAGGAGGGGGCAGACCACACACCCCAGGGGCTTGGGTTCGGAGTGACAGTGGCATCAGAAGGCAGGAGACCTAGCCAAGGGGCTGGGGGACAGGCTAGGGCACCCCTGGCTCTGCCACCTCTGTTCTCCCCAAATCCCTAAACAGACACTTTGCACCAGGGCCCCCCGGACATGTGATGGCCACACACACACCCACTTGAAGACCCAGGGCCTGTCCCTTGGGTGCCGTCCCTGCTGCAGGATGGAGGGGTTACGGCCCCTGGGACCCAGACACACCCAAAAAAACCACCACAGGAGGCGTTTTCTGTTAAAAGTCAGAAGTGTTTTGTCTTGTTTTAATATCTCATCAGCTTTACAGGGTTACAATTGTCTTAAATATTTCTGAAGTTTAAATACAATCTGAATAATAATGTTATAAAATGTAAACTTTCAGTGTTCTTTTAAATTTCAAAATCACACACTTTTTTTTCTTTTTTGTCTTTTTTTCTTTTTTTTTTTGGTCTTTTGTCCTTTTTTTCTTTTTTTTTTCCCCTTTTAATACCTGAATGTTCTGCAAAAACTGAAATCGGTACAGACCGCCCTGGCCAGGGCGACAAGGCCAGGCCCGGCCAGAGGTAGAGTCGTTTAAACCTTTTTTTTAAAGAGTTTTTTTTCACTTTAACCTGAGCGCTGGCGCAGTGCTCACGCCGTCTGACAAACCCCAGAGAAGCTGAAATTTCACATGTCAGGAATGAAAGGCTGAATTCATGGTTGCCAAGAAAAAAATACAAGAGCAAAATTAAAGGAGGGGGGGAAGGACGAAGTGGACAAAAGTGATAAAATGGGAAAGTGAGAGTACAAATGCAGAACTATGGAAAGTAACCCGCCGTCCCACCCTGCATGCCCAGCCCCCAGCTCAGGGGTCCCACGGAAGATTCTGGAAGCAACACCTCCAGCAGGGGAGCCCCCGCGAGCCCCTCTCCACCCTGAGTTTGGGGTCTCCGCCCTCGCAGTGCCACGAAGCCCACTCGGGAACGACCAGCACAGAAGCCAAGGGCAGAGACAGGTGCCCCCGTCCATCCGCACCTGGGTTTGCGTAAGGGGGCACTGATGTGCACCCCAGAAACCCTCCCCTTCCCTAAGCCCCAGGGACAGGAGGGGCAGGGGGCTGGATGGGGCACCGAAGGCAGAGGCAGGGGAGGACCCCGCTCGCGTTCCCAGCTCAGGTGGGTTCCCCCCGGCACAGCCGCCCCCTGGCTAGCCTGGAGCGGGGGACTGGGCCCCATGCCCCGCCCCCACCTGTCCCCTACAATCATCACTTGAACAGCAGGCCACACCCTGAGTTACATCCGGGAGGCCACATTGACCCGCGACACAACACCAGTCCGCACACACACGAACAAGGCGGGCGTACGGGCCTTCCAGGTGGAGGGGCCCCACGGGGAGGGTGGGGCGAGGGGAGAGCCAGGGCACGGGATTTGGCATCAAGAGTCAGGCCTGAGGTAGAAAGAAACACGCTGCAGAACCCCCCCAACGAGGGCGTGACCGGGGAACCTGAAGGCCTCGGGCCAGGGCGCCCATGGGTCAGGCTGGGGTGGGGTGGGGGGCTTCTGTGTGTGGAGCCGGATTGTGCCCGGGGACAAAGAGATCCCCTCCCACCATGATTGTGCTGCTGCCACGAGAGAGGGAAGGGCAGAACCTTCCAGAAGGAAAAGCAGAGAGAAGACCCCGCTCCTGGAAGGCTGGGGGGTGGGGTGTCAAGGACCCTGAGATATTCCAAAGACACAGCACAGCCCCACACAAAGGAAAACCCAGCCTTGGGGGCCCAGGACCCTCCCTCCTCGGGTCTCCCAGGGGGAGGATGCCTGGTCCATCAGGGAGAGGGGGAGGCTGGTGCTGCCCCCCCGCCGTTAGGCCGGGCTCCTGAGCCCAATTAGAGAATACAGGCTCACCCTGGCAACAGCTGAGTCAGTGCCCCCCCCCCAACAAAAATCCCACTGGGCGGCGTGAAGAGCACTACCCAACACCACCTGGTCCGCAGGGACCCAGCGGGCGCCAAGAAAGCCCCCCACCCGCCTGGGCCTTAGGGCAGACGGTGCTCACCAAGACCACCGCCAGCCCCTGGAATAACCTCCCACCAGCCGTGTCCCCCCACCCCCCGACACCCACCTTCTAACCAGGAGGAAGGGTCGTGCAGAGACGGGGTGTGGCCTCCAGTTACTCTAGTTACTGCAGGCAGCTGTGGCCCCAAGCAAACGGGGCCGAGAGAGAAGGAAGGGACAAAATTAAGGAGAAGAGAATGGAAGCGGGGACTGTTCAGGATGCCGTGGCCCCAAAAACCTCGCCCTGAGCTAAGCCCGGCTCACCCCGTCCCCCAGTACTGATAATCTCCCAGAGCAGCCCTCCCCGCCCCAGGAGCACCCCCAGGCCACATTCATCCCTGAGACAGGAGCCTGGGGGCCACGAAGGTGGAGCCCCCTCCCACGCCCAGGGCCCTTCATCCAGCCCGTCCTCCTCCCTAGTTAAGACTTCCAGTCTCTGGCGGGAGGGAAAAAGGACCCCGGATGCCCCGGTCTGCCCCTCAGCATTCATGCCCCCCGCCCATAGCACCTGAGTTCATCACCGGTCCTGGCTCTGGCCCAGGGCACGTCCTGCGCCTGCCAGCTACCCACTGCAGCACAGGAAACACACATAGGAACCCAAACCAGTCATGGGAAAATAGGAAGGGTATTACTTTCTTTTCTTTTTTTTTTTTTTTTTTTTTTGTGGGTTTTTTTTTTTTTTTTTGCTTTTTCAAGTCCAGTTTCCCTGAATGAACACAAATATATAGATATATATATCCTTTTCCTAAGGTTTGATTCCTCCCCCAAGAATAAAATAGATTATTTACAAAACAAAACCCCGAAACCTCTTAAAAGCCCTATAGATCTTGAGTATCACTGTTTCTTAAAAAAAAAAAAAAAAGTTCCCAAAAGCAACAAGAAAAAAAAAATTCAGCTGATCTTGGCTCAGGGGTTTCATTCAACACAAGGAGCTGGGTGTGGTGAGTGTGTGATGAATGGGGGAAAAAAAGGGAAAAAAACAGACAAAAATGAAAACACACAGTGCAGAGATGTATGAGGTAAACAGGATCGGCCTTCCATGGCAACCGGTCCACACAGACCCCAGACCCCAGTCAGTTGGTCCAGCAGGGCTGCAGCCCTCGGAAATATGTGCCCCTCTCTCTTCCGATTTCCTTTGCTGCTCTCACAATTCACGTCTCTG